ATTTCTCCTTATTTCTAGGTTTTCTCCATGATTAGCTTCCATCCATTGTTTCTTGTCCTGCCTTTGGGGCTTTTGGAAAAGTTGACTCCCTCATCCTTGTGGTAGCCCCTTAAACATTGGAACATTGCTATCATGTCACTCCTAGTCCTATATTTCACCAGACTAGACATACCCAATTCCTGCAACCGTTCTTCCAGCCCCCTAATCATCTTTGTTGCTCTTCTCTCTACTCTTTCCAGCCTTAGTCATCTCCATTCATGGAGATCTTTTGCTACAAATGTTTTTTTTTTTTTTCATTTTGGGAGTTATATTTATTTATGAAGGAGAATCAATGGTTGGGAGATTTCACTTGCATTTAATTATATGTCTGTATTACCAATAGAACAGTAGCTCAGGGTTGATCAGGATCTGCAGGGCAGATCGCTAAATACAGTTTTGCCCATAGCCTCTTTGTTGCTCTTCTCTGTACTTTTTCCAGAGTCTCAATAATGTATAGTGCACAATAACATACATGCTCTAAGTACACATTCCCAGACAGTAATATAACTGAGTTGAATGTCTGTTTCTCTCACGGACCAGTTGCTGGCTATTAGTTTGACCCTGATTTGCAGGAGAAGTTTGTTTTTCTAACTGTATTATCATGCAACAAATTTAAAAAAAAATTCTCTTTTTCCATTAGCATATTTTTGCTTTGCCACGTGGAAAAAAAAATCAATTTCCCTTTCTTGTATCTGTGAAAGAAGTGTGTATACCTGCATGTGTCTATATATTCCACCTTCAACCCTATGCAAAGTGCCCAAATCAACATGGACTAAACTTGAAAGGACCAAATAAATGGAGACTCTCCTAGAAGAAATATCTGAAGCTTCTATTTTACTGCATTCCGATATCACACCGTGCTTTGACAGGACGCCAAAACCCATCAAACTAGGACAATTGATCTTATTCCTCTCACAAAATGTTGTCATTTCCTTCAAAAAAAAGAAAAGAAAAAAGAAACCTAAGGTCTAAAAGCAAGGGAAATACTCCTGGACTTACAAAAGTTCTTTTTGTGATCATTCAAAATGACAACACAAACTGAAAAAAAACCGACTGATGACCCTTTTCATGCTTTAGAAGCGTTACGGACTCCCCGTCGGTCACGTGATCCAAATCCAGACGCTTGGCCACTGACGACTTCTTTCTTCCTTCTCCTCCTCCTCCTCCTCCTCTTCTTCTTCCTCCTCTTCCTCTTTCTCTTCTTCTTCTTCTTCTTCTTCTTCTTCTTCTTCTTCCTCCTCCTCCTCCTCCTCTCCACAAACCCTCTTCTTCTTCTTCTTCTTCTTCCTCTTCCTCTTCCTCTTCTTCTTCTTCCTCCTCCTCCTCCTCCTCTCCACAAACCCTCTTCTTCTTCTTCTTCTTCTTCCTCTTCCTCTTCCTCTTCTTCTTCTTCTTCTTCCTCCTCCTCCTCTCCACAAACCCTCTTCTTCTTCTTCTTCTTCTTCTTCTTCTTCTTTGCAAAATTGTCACAAAATGAGAATATCTATGGAGATTCTCAGTCATCTAGATCGCGATTGTCCCAAAGGTGCTTTTTCAAAAGGCAACTGGACTTTTCTTCGTTGTTCCTTGGAGACGTTTCGCTTTCTCATCCAAGAAGCTTCTTCAGTTCTGAACGAAGAACTTCACTTCTTTCAGAACGGATGAAGCTTCTTGGATGAGAAGTGAAACGCCTTCAAAGCAAAACGAAGAAAGTCCAGTTGCCTTTTGGGAAAAAAAAAAAAAACACCACCTTTGGCACAAAATGAGATATATATTTTTTTTCATTGACTGGGGGCCTAGCTTTGCCTACCTTAGTTCCTATAACTTGTTTGGGGTTTCATATTAGGTGGGCCTAGCATACAAGTTAGCCTACACTGTTGCACTTTAGATTTGCAGAGTCACCCCAATACACACAGGCACACAGACAACACAAACACACACACTTTTCACATATCGCTCCCACTTTCCTAGCCAGTTTGCCTGCAAGTACCACATTATCTGTACATCCAAGCCAGTATTCAGAGAACCGTGACAGATGTGCCTATTTCTCTTTGACGATGCTGCCCCTTCTGTTTAAAATAATCCAGGTAATGTAATTCTAATGCCTTGTTCCAAACCTTCTTTATCCAATTCTCACTGCTTCTGGTGGGTCTGAAATGTGCACACAAGCTCTCTCCCTCACACACGCATGTACACATATTTAACAAGATGTTATTTTGCTACAAAAGATGAGAGAGGAAGTGAGCTGAGCAACTGATGTTTAAAATAAACAGACTCTCCATTGCCTAATGGAGATATTATTTTCCTTGTTTACTTTTTCTTAAAAACCACACACACACACACACACAAAAGAAAACCTTTTTTTCTCTCCACTGCAGGCAAGGGCCTTTAATCTTCATCCCAAAGGCCTATAAGCAATTCAAATAAAGTCCGGTTTTATATTCATTAATTTGCAGGTGATAGTTTTCAGCAGCCCATTGTTTATGGGCTGAAAAATAAATCCACTGAAGTGATATTGTGAAAGGCAAAAAGAAAAAAAAAAGGAAGTAATTTAAAAACAAGCAGCAACCGACATTTCTAAAAGAACGGTGTCTCCTTCGGTGTGAACACAGTAAGTTCCAATAACGAAGGTTCCTTTCTTCTTTGTGCACACAACGTACCTGTGTTTTCCCAATCTGTAGTAAAAGCTTATGCCCCCAGATGTTTCTGTAAGATTCCATTTAAAGCTAAGAAAAATTGCTTTGAGCTACACATTGGGTTGTGTTTTTTTTTTCCTTTTTAAATCCGATACCAGCTTTCTCGCCGTCTTTTTCTTAAAGGAAAGACATTGTTTATTTGTTATTTTCAAACAACCATGCCACTGAAGACAAGGGGAGGAAGATAATGCAAAAACCTACTTATCTGATTACACCTTGGCTTAATTAACCATAATACATTGTCCCTGTAAGTGCCTAAGAAACCTGCTGTCCTGTTCATAGCGGGGAAGGGAAAATGTTTGCTTTACCCATCCAAGACCATAACCACGATTCTATACATCCAAGACAGAAGTCAAGCAAGCTAGCCCATTTTGAAATCATGATGACAAAGATGATTAGGTTGATAATAATATTAAAGAATATCCTATCAAAACAATGTGAACCAAGGCATTCCAAGATCAGGTTTTAGTAGCCAGAAGCTTTGGGGCATGAAGGAAGACCAAGTGAATTCCAGAAACAATCCATCATCTAAAAAAATTGGAAGGATTGCCATAAAGTACATTTGATTCTTTTTTGTATTTCTTCCTTGACTCCCCCACCCTCTCCAAAACTGTGTCAATCTGTTGTTCCATGGAATAGATATGCAGATCGAACTCAGGGAGAAAAAAGATGCTTTTAAAATCTTTCTGGTCCACAAAGAAAGGATATTTTTTTTATTAAATATCTATATATATTTATATACACACATATACACGCACATACATAGAAACATACAGAAAGAGCTCAGAGACGGAAGAGAGAGAGGGAAAAAAACAACAACTACAACTGTCACAACAAGAAAACACCTTTGATTTCCAGGTTTCTTCCATATCTGTAGTTCTTTTATTAGAAATGTTTTAGGAGAGAGAGAGAGAGGGAGCAGAAAGAACCCCCCCCCAAAAAAGAGATAGATATTTTTATTAAGATTATGTTCAATAAAAAATGCTCTCCTTTGTCGTTCTTTCTCTTTCTTTTTCTTTCTTTCTTTCTTTCTTTCTTTCTTTCTTTTTCTTTCTTTCTCTTTCTCTCTCTCTCTCTGTCTCTCTCTCTTTCTCTCTGCCTACCTCTGGAAACAAAAGACTTTCTTCCCCTAGCTGTCTCTGGAAAGGAAAGTCGAGCTGGTTGGGTTTTTGCCGGTAAAAAAAAAAGGGGGGGGCTGTTTGGGAAAAAAAATCAAAATAAAACGGGGAGGGGAGGTCAAACCTTGAATGCATTGTAGAAGACAACAGGGGCGCCGCTCCGCAAATATATATACATATACATATCTATATCTATACAATCATAATCATAAAAAAGGCGGAAGACAGAGAGAGGGAGGGAGATAAAAAAAAAGAGAATAAAAGCAAATAAACCACTTGGCTGGTGCCAATAACAGCCGCTCCCCCCCCCCGCCGCCTGCCTGCCTGCCTGCCTGCCTGCCCGTTCTTGCCTCGGTCCGTCCACCCCCCCCCTCCCCTCCCCTCCGCTCCGCTCGCCTATCACAATAGCTATCGACTCCAAAAAGCCATGCGCCTTCCGCTATTTATAGCTAGTGCAAGGGCTGGGATCTACCACCGGCCAAGCAGACGGGGGTGGGGGTGGGGAGAAAGGGTGGGGAGCGGATGGGGAGGAGGGGAAGGGGCTGCCTGGATGGTAGCTCAGCCAGAGGGAAGCGCCCCCTCCCTCCCGCGCGCGGCCCCCGTCCCCCTCTGCCTCCATCCATCCTCCCCTCCCACCCACCCCCATCCAACCCCCTCGGCTTTCTGGCACTTTGAACCGATCCAGCCTGTTTAAACGGAAAGGACAGCGATCCAAGCTGTTCAATGTATGAAAAAAAAAGGAAAGGAAAAAAAAAAAAAAGAAAAGAAAATTAAAAAAAAAATCCGTTCGGGTTTTCGCCAGCGAGCGAGCGAGCCAGCAAGAGAAGGGCGCGAGTTTGTGTGTGTGTGTGTGTGTGTGTGTGTGTGTGCCTGCGCGCGTGTGCGTATGTGTGTGAGAGAAAGAGAGAGACCGAGAGAGCGAGGGACGGAGAGAGAGCAAGAGAGAGGGACAGAAAGAGAAAGAGAGAGAGAGAGAGAGAGAGAGAGAGAGAGAGAGAGAATATCAGTGCTAGGGTGCGTGCTGAGTGAGTCTGTGTGTGTGTGTGTAAGAGTGAGTGAGTGTGGTGCGTGTGTGAGCGCGCGTGTGTGCGAATGTGAGTGTGTGTGAGTGAGTGAGCAAGAGGGAGCGGGATTGCGAGAGGGAGAGAGAGAGGGAGAGAGAGAGAGAGAGAGAGAGAGAGAGGAACGGAGGCAGCGAGGAGGGGGGGGGCTGGGCCAAAAAAGGAAAAGAAGATTTTTTCTCTATGTATATAAAGATGGCCACGTTAGCAAACGGACAAGCAGACAATTCCAGCCTCAGTAGCACCCACACTAACCCCAACCCCAACGGGCACATGAACGGATTAAACCACAGTCCGGGGAACTCCGCCACCATTCCCATGAAGGATCACGATGCGATCAAGCTCTTCGTTGGGCAGATCCCTCGCAACCTGGACGAGAAGGACCTCAAGCCGCTTTTTGAAGAGTTCGGGAAAATATACGAACTGACGGTGCTGAAGGACCGCTTCACCGGCATGCACAAAGGTGAGCAGGGGATTCGCAACTTTCCCCTCTGCTTTCTTTTTTCCTCTCTTCTTTTTTTCTTCTTCTTCTTCTTCAGCTCGGGGCTGGGCAGAAGGGAGGGGGGGGGACACGGGGGTCCGAGCAGATGGCTTTTGAAAGGGGAGGGAGGCGTTCTTGGGGGGGGGAGAGAAAGCAAAGATCGGGGACGATCCAGCCCGGTTGTTGGTATTAGGGGGGGGGGAATGTTTCGATGGAGGTGTGAGCGGGCGCCCTCGGAGTGGGTGCCGAAGTGGGGGGGGGGAACCTTTCTTTTTAGGGATCCGACCGATTTTTAGGCGCCGGGGGCGGTGTGTGTGTGTGTGTGTGCGGGGTGTATGTATGGGTGGGGGGGAGAAATGCCTGTCTTTAAAAATACACCCTGAGATATACAAACACCCACATACACATGTATATATACACACACAGGCACCAAACAAAACGAAAGCCGGACAGAAAAGCCCCGGGAAAGCATGAAAGGAGCTGTCCCTCCAGCGAGGTGCTGAAACGGGGACGAGCGAAGCTCCCGATAGTCCCCCCCCCCAAAACGGCTACCCCGAGTTCGGGGCGTTTCTGAGATGGGGGGGAAAAGGGGGGGGAGAGAGAGAGGCGTCTAAGGGGAGTGCTTTCTGCCTTTAGGCGGAACGCCCCCCCTCCAGTAAAAAAAGAGAGGGGGGCATCATTTAATGTGGGGGAGGGGAGGGACGGGGTGTTACGGCTGCCTGCAAGGAAGGAGGCAGAACGCGGCAGCCCGGGTGCAACAGCGCTGGTTTACTTATTTATTTATTTATGGGGGGTGGGGGAGATTCAAGGAAGAGGGCGGGTTTTTTTTTTTTTTTTTTTAGGGAGGGGGAGGAAAGTCGGTGGGTGTTCAGGCATCTACTTTTGAGCGAGGGGTGGGGAGGAGCCGAGGGAGTTTGTCGTTTGGTCAGCCCTCAAGAAAGAAACTCGACAACTTTTTTTTTGGGGGGGGTACAAAAGAGAGAGAGGGGGGGTGGCGATCAGAGTCGCTTCTGGAGAGACAGGGAAAGGAGCCCAGCGCCACGGGACTTTCTATTTATTTCCCTTGGCGATCACTGCCCCCTCCCCATGCACACTCGTGAGCACACACACACACACACACACACACACACACACACACACACAGCACCGCCTGGTTTATTTTAAGGTTGGGAGGAAGCCTTCTCTTCCCGTTTGTCATTCCGGATTTCCCTCCAGCCTCCTTCGCGCTTGGCTGTACAATTGACAGATAATGGTGGGGTGGGGGTGGTGGGAGTGTACCTATAAAGAGGAAGAGGGGGGGGCGCAGCGGCTAAATGTAGACGCGTGGAGGGGGGGGACCCTCCGTGCGCGAAGGGGTATCGATTGTTTGAGAGAAACTGAGATTGAAGTAAGTTGGAGGCGAGGCGGCTGGCGCTGGCTGCAAGGAAAAGCCAAGAGATCCATTAGATCAGGAACTTTTTTTTTTTTTTTTTTTTTTTTGGTCTTTCCTTTCCTTGCTTCCTTTTCCTTTCCTTTTTTTTAAAAAAAAATTAATTTTATTTATTTATTTATTTTGCTTCTTCTGGAAAAGAGGGGGGGGAAATAATCGAGGCGGTCCGTGGGAAAACTCAGAGAACAAAAAAAAGGGGGGGGAGGGAGGGAAGAAAAAGAAGAGGAAGAAAGAAGGAAACGGAGGGCGCGAGGAGAAAATAGGCAGACACGCTTTCCTTCCCAAGTTGGAATCTCAATAATTGTGACTCCGAACCGCTGGTCTATTTTGCAGACGGAGGAGGGAGGTGGGTGGATGGATGGGTGGGTGGGAGGGAGGGAGGGAGGGAGGGCGATAAATCCTTCCAAAAGTTAATTGCAACGTTTTTGAAAACACCCACCTCTTCTCCAAAACCTCTCCGCGATAGATTTTAAAAACAGGAAGTATTTTTTTTTTTTTTTTTTAGGAGGAAGAGTGAATGAAACGGTCTGGAAGGGGGAAGGGAGGGGGGGAGAAAGAGGGGGAGGGAAGGGAAAGAGAGAAAGCGTGCAATGGAGATCATCTGGAGCGGGCCTGCGATAATCACTGTTATTCCTCCATAACCAGCCGTTTTTCCTTTGCAATCTCCACAAGCCAGGCTTTCTTTTTCCTCCTCCCTTCCCCCCCCCCGTCAGATTCATGCAAGCTTTATAGAAATTGCTTATGAGAAGGTTGAAAAGCAGAGCGTTTGCTGTTAAACGCTCTCTGGATGGTGCCTTTGGAATGCTGCCTTTTATTTTGGATTTCTTTTAGCCAAGAAACGTATTCAATATTTATTTTTTTCCCTGAAGCAAATTCAGGTTATGCACATCGGTCAAAACGCTCCGTGCAGATAAAGTTGGGAATTATTATTTATTTTTAAATGAGGTTTTGTTGTTGTGTTTTTTTTTTTTTTTTCCTGCTGATGATACCTGTGTAGGTATGCTTGTCAGTAGGATACACAAACATACTTTGGAAAGGAATCCCGAATAGAGAACAAGACAGGGCAAATCCCCCTTTTTTCCCAGTTTTACCTAGTTTGTGAGATAAGAGTTAACTTTTTAACTAGGAGTTCCTTGAGTCATATTGGGGGGGGGGGGCAACTAACTACCCCCTCTTACCTAATTCCTAGAAAAAAAGTTCACTTTACCTGAATGGGTTATTTTGGGACAAAGTCTTGCAAACTAACCCCATATACACACTGTAGGTCCATATAGGAAACACTGGCTTAACTCTGACTTCTTTTTATTTTATGGAATTTCAAGATGAATTCTACGGATAGCCAAGAAGGTCAAAGTGAACGTGCTTCCCTCCATCTGTATTAAATCTCAGCCTGGTTAATAACCGAGATTCATTAGGGAGAGGAGAGGGGGAAAAAGCAACTGACTCAACCAAATTCTTTGGCAATACTTTCCAAAGGTGTAAGAGATGACAGCTGAGGTGTTATGAACAACTAAAGTCCAGGTCAGAGCAGCCTCTTCATGCCCATAAGGTGCCACCAATTTATTATCTATTTTTAAATGTCTTGTTTCGTTCCTTGGGATTGAGAGAAGTTGTCTTCACTCGTTTCTGAAAAGTTTGAAAACAGAAGCACAGCAGATGGAGGAATAACATAATATATTGCTTGTACTATGATTTCCCTCTTTGTTTATTATTGCTGTAAAACAGAAGCTAACAACGCAGCGAAAACCTACCCAATATCCTTCCTTCCTTCCTTTTTTCCCCTGCTTGCTTGCTTTTTCCTAACCTTTAATCTTTGCCATTGCCTTTTCTTCTTTCCTTCCTTCCTTTTCTGCTTTCCCACTTCCTTTTTCTCTTTGCCTCTATCCCTCTTTCCCCCTTCCCTTCTCTTCTTCCTTCTCTTTCGCCTTCCTTCCTTCCTTTCTCTTCCTTTATCACTTTCTCCTCTCTCCATCCCTCCTTCCTTGATTTAATCTATGTATTATGTAATAAAAAGAAAGGTGCTCTTTATAGATACTTATCCATAAACATAAGCAGAGAATTTACTCCCTGACACTGGGTTTGTGTGTGGTGCTTGTTAAAAGCCACAACTGCTAAAGGTTTGTAGGTCCTTCCATGTACACGTATTCAGTTATTTCTAATACAGCTAGGTGTTTCTGTGTGCAGGGGGATATGTGTGGGAGTTGTGTTGAGCATGTTGGATTCTATAAAAACTACTACATAGACTGGCTTTGCATTTCTGGTAAGCAAAAATGAGGCCCTACTATAGTTCAAAAATGCAAAGAGTAACTCTACTCTGAGTATTATGCAGATCCAGACTCCAAATGCACATATTAAGAAGTTTGATTTATTTTAGATCTGTGAGAATCCTGACAAAATATTCTCTGTCATTCATAACAACTGATTCAGTTTTCCTTCCTTCCTTCCTTCCTTCCTTCCTTCCTTCCTTCCTTCCTTCCTTCCTTCCTTCCTTCCTTCCTTCCTTCCTTCCTTCCTTCCCTCCCTCCCTTTCTTCCTTCCTTCCTTTCTTCCTCCCTCCCTCCTTCCCTCCCTCCCTCCCTTTCTTCCTCCCTCCCTTCCCTCCCTCCCTTTCTTCCTTTCTTCCTCCCTCCCTCCTTCCCTCCCTCCCTTCCTTCCTTTCTTCCTTCCTCCCTCCCTCCCTCCCTCCCTCCCCTCCCTTCCCTCCCTCCCTCCCTCCCCTTCCTTCCTTCCTTCCTTCCATTAATGTTATTTTTCTCTTTCTTTTTTCTTTTCATTGAAAAGAAAATTGAAAGTTAGAAAGCTGGGTTGAGATTTTATTCACTAGAACTTTCAAAGAAATGTTGACAGTAAAAGCAACCCGGCCACTTCTTATCAGATATGGAAATATATCCAATAATTACAGCTCTATTTCTTTCATAACTTCGACTCTTCCATCTGCATCTAATAAACACCACTTTGGACCTGAATTTCTTGAGCCCCCCCCTGAGATTTGTTCTCTCAAATGTCATGTAAGATTGTCTTAGCTTTCAAAATAATTTAAGACCAAGTTTTTTTTTAAAAAAAAGGCTTTTGGGCCTAATATTTATAAAGGGATGAAATCAAAACATGAGATCATTCCAGACGAACTATTTTTTGTCTTCCATATGAATGGAGTCGTATATTTGAGGCCCGCAGTGTATTAGACCACGTTAGCTGCCTTTCTGTCGTAGTCTTCTTGCAAAGTCAGGCTACAGCCAGGTTAGCGTGAGATTTTGTTAAACAAACTCAAGCTCTGAAGCACATTTAAGCTGCAAAGTTGTGAAACAGATGATAAGGAAGGAGATGGTGTGTTGCTTTGAATGATAGTGTCTCTTTTCAGACCTTGTGTGAGTAATGCAGCTCACTCAAAAGGTTCCCCATCTCTCTTTAAGACAGTGAGAAGCTCCACCTCCTTAATAAATTGAACAAATAAAGTAGAAAAAAGAAATAGTGTGAATGTATTTGAGCTGCTAGCCTTCCTTCCTTCCTTCGTTCCTTCCTTCCTTCGTTCCTTCCTTCGTTCCTTCCTTCCTTC